GGGGGGGGGGGGGGGGGGGGAGGGATGGCTGATCTCTTGCGCTACAGCGGGACAGATGCTGCTGTTTGAGCCGCCTGCGTGTGTGTTTACTCGCAAGAAGCCTCGCTAGGCTACGGAGGCATATCCTGCCGGGGGGGGTTGGATTGAGGGGCACCTGAGGAGGGCCTCCAGGGGTCCGAGGCGCTTGGACGAGAGAGGAAGCGGGAAGAATAGGGGGGTACCTGGAAGTGTCTCTTGGGGGTGGAAAGGAAAAGGGCCACGGGGTTGGTGGCAGGCCTTTGAGGGCTGGGGTTGGGGGGTTATTCGGGGGTAATGAAAGCGAGATAGAGGCATAGGACGTCGGAGGTAGACTAAAGTGTTTATGGAGGGGGTGTTATTGCGTCCCGTTTTTATTTCCTGTTTCCTTCCATTTGACCTTGTTCTTTTGAGGGAATTGCTATCCTCCCACCCTTCCTCGTGCATTTTTTAGCTACATTCAGATATAATGGTTGACATTTGTGTATTCTACTGCTGCAGAGGGCCTTAATTAGTAAAGGAGTATGAAGCTTTCAAATTAAGAATCTCTCTTTATTGCAAAAGTTCTTGCAATCCTGAATGGCATAAACTTCCTGTATCTTGAAAAGAGGTATAAAAGTTGAGCCGAACAGTTTGTTGCTTGCTTTTAAAATATTCACATTCAGCTCATACATCTTTCTTATCTTTGATCTGTCTCAGTCTTGCTTTGGTTCTGGACATGCTCCTTATATCAGTGTCTCCTTGCCATGTGTCTTACATATTTAAGTACTTTCAAATGTCATGAATAAAAAGCTTGTTACATATTAAGTCTGAATTTCTCATATGTGTTCTTGGATATTGGTCTTCTCCTGGTTGGTTTTGTAAATCAGAATTTTTTTGATATGTTTGGCCCAGAGCCTGCAATTCAGTATTTTTGTAATTTTATCAAGGTTTAAATAACTTGCTAGTTGTGTGATTTCATTACTTATGGTGTATATAAAACTCTAAAATTTTGTGTTGTAACAAAAGTGAAAAATAATTCAAATTAAATATTTTGTGTCTGTCTACAAGCAAGACTCAGAGTTTGCTGTAAAGTTTGTTTACCCATCTTGGATTTGCCTCTATATCTGTCAGCTTAGCCTCCTTTCCAGTACAATGTTGTTAATAAAGGATATAGAATAGGGCTGTGTTGCTGACCTGAGCATACACAGAATTAATATAATAGCTGTAAATTCACTTGAATTAAAACAAAACAGAACAGTCTTCCATGAAACATGGTATTCCTACTGGGAAAATACACTTTCTCTACAAAGTTAACACAACATATAGCTCTGTCTTATTTTAGATCAGACTATGTATCTTAGCTAGTATTTCTGCTCTGTTCGAGAATAGGTTATAGTCTGAAGCAACAGCCTTTTCTATTAACTTATTTTATTTGGACTTTATATATCCAAACTGTTGGTCTGTTATAGGCTATGTTCTTTGCTTAACCTTTACATCCTGTTAGACCTTTTGGACTGTTGGGGAAAGTTTTATTTTTGGAGATGAAATTTGAATTAGCCACATCTTTATACCCTCGCCTCCACAAACATTCATGCTGTTATTTTTTGTTGCCTGTTATGAATAAGAAAAAGGAAGAGGATTTGTTCTGAAGAGGGCTATCCTATAGCAGAGAGATGTGTTCTAGGTCATCATAATTGTAACTTAGTCACATCCCAGTACAATTAGCCTGTGGTTATTAACAGTATAAATTAGAAACATAAATTTAGTAATAATTACAAATGCATACCAAATTAACTAGCCACAATGTAAAATAACAACACTACCTAGACATGTAGACATTTTAGTAGCCAAGTCCTAGGAGAGGAAAGCTAGTATCAGAATAAATGTTATAGGTGTTACGTTATGTACCCAGAGCTGGGCCACTTGGACTGTTGGGTTTTATGTTTTTCTTTTTTGGATTTAAAATATAACTATGCTTATATAGTTACGTAGATGAGAAACTGATGTGATCTATAGAGTGCCTCCACTTATGTTCACGATTTGTGTTCTAAATAGATAAGAAGTTACCTATTTTAGTAGAAATATAGCAAAAACACTTTTGTTTTGTAAGAATCCTCATGTTATGATGCATAGTGTCTGGTGCTCTTGTAGCTACATGTTATAGAAGGAAGAAGGGGACACATACTTACAAAGGCTTCTCTGACAAGAGATGCACGTATTGCTGGATGGCTGTCCTGAGCTATCGATCTGTTGTTGGCTTTTGGGATTCCAGATGCGCCTAATAAAATGAGAGAGCCAAATACCAGGTATACTTGCTTCTGATGGAAGAGCAGACATCTGATACACTCCACAGGGAAGTTTTTTAGCCCACCTACCAAGACTGTAAAGTATAATTCTGCCATATAAATGTTAAAATATTGGTTGAACTTGGAAGGCCTGTCTTCTATTAGTCTAAATTGCTTCCAGATCTGCTGCCTGAATTCTTCTAGAAACACATATTTCAATTAATTAGTCCTGACTCTCAGCTGATATAAGGTGCTTTGGGAACTTATTGTAAGATATAACATAGGAGAACATGTAGTAGGAAGATAAGAGAGGATATTTGAAACTCACTATTCTGTCTTCATATATTTGTTTCAAGTTTCTTGCAGTTTGAATTGTTCTTGTCAGAGTTGACTTGGCTAGTTTTATTCCTCCTTTGCATTTTTAAGTCCATACCTGAACCTTTAAAAAATGTAGATATAAAGCTGTTTCCTCCCAGTATGATGAAAAACCTTTCACTACTCCAGTAGTGAACTACTCCAGTATATATTAGTGGAAAACTGGAATTCTGGTATTGTTAGTGCAGGAAATACTTGGATGGTGGAAATTGTATTAGATATTAGACCATGTCTCCCATTGCTGTAGTCGCTGCTAACCACAGTATTGTTTGGTGTATTTGGTAAGAATAAGAGCTTTATCATTAGGCACCCTGTCCCTTTAAAAGAAATTGTGCCACTCAGATTCTTTTCTTCGAACTAATCAGATAACTGTTAGACTTTGATACTACTGAATTTGAATACTTGGCAGTGTACTAGATTCTATTTTAGAGAGCTTTATTAAGTGAAATAGAACACAAGTTATGAATTTGGCTTGTTTATCACAAACAATGCTATTGTGTATGATTTAGCTATTTAAAGTACATTTGAACTGCTAAACCTAGAAACTCATTTAAAATGAGTATATTATGCTTTAACATAACATAAAATGGTCCCTGCTAAATCAGACCAAATGTTGATTTGGTCCAGCTTCCTGTTTTCCACTATGGCTAGCCAGATATGTCTGAGATGCCCACAACCAGAACATGAGGACAATATAATCTTGGTTTATGTTTTCCAGCAACCGTTTTATTACCATCAGGTCTAATAGCCATTAGTAGCTTTATCCTCCATGAATTTGTCCAGCCTCTTTTACAGCTAACCATGTTTGTGGTATCATCCCATCATAAGGAAGTGGATTCTGTAGTTAAAAGAAGAGCTTCATCTTGCCTGTTGTCAGTCTGCCACTATTCAGCTTCACTGGGAAGTTTGGAGGTTTCAACATAAGAAAAGAGAGCAAAACTCTTCATTCTATTCATTTTCTTAATAAAAGTGTTAAGAGTTGTAGTTCAGCATACTTGGAAGATATCCAGTTAAAGAAAGCTGGCATATTGTGTTCCTACCTTCCTTTCTCTGAAAGGAAGCCATGAAACAGAAGCATTGTTAAGAGTCTTCATGAATTTGTACATCTATTGGTTAAATATATATTCCAATGCACTGTTATTATAGAAGCCATTGCATAAATTCAATTGCATAAAGCGAGTATTGAGTAGTACAAGAAGTGATCTATCTTAATAAGCTTAAAATTAAGATGCCTAATGCCCTAATTAATCCTGAACAGTGCATGACTTAGATTTCAGTAAACATATTTATTTCACCTTATTTGTGCGCCACCCATTTCAGTAGACTTTGGCAGCCTGTAGCAGTAAACCATAATTACCAGATAATATAGGAACCAGTATTCTTATTACTTTTTCTTGACGGCCAAAGTATGATCTCCTGTTTTTGGAACACAATAAAGGAAGGAGACATTTTAATTTCGGAGAGAAAAGAAGGAAGAATTCCAAAGGGTGGAGGCAACCACAGAGAAACTTGTTTTGTGCTGCCATTGCCTAACCCATTGGGGGAAAGCGATGATTTCATTAATCACCAGCATACTTTCCTCAGTAGAATGCACAGACTAGGGAAATTCTACTTCAGAAGACAGTCCTGTAAAAAACAAAGACCCCAAACCATAGAGGGCTTTATAAACAATGACCAGCATGTAAAATTGTACCCAGAAGTGTACTGATATCCAGTGCAGCTCTTGCAAGATGGGGAAAATTCTGTTAAACTGGACACTGGCCCCATCAACACTTAGGCTGCTGCAATTTGAATCAGTTGCAGTTTCTGAGTAGACTTCATAGGAACTAATAAATTAATTGTAATATGATAAGAGCATGAGTGATAGTCACCAGAATATCCTGTTTCAGAAACTATTGCTGGGCAAAGGGTCTCCTGGCCATTGTCTCCACCAGCTCTCCAGCTGGAGTTATGAGTCCAGAACTTCCACCAGCTCCTTCCAGGAGATTGTAACTGCAACTCTGTCATAGCCTAAAGATTATTCTGAATTCAAGTGACTTCTGGATAAACAGAGTCTCCATCTTGCTGGGATTTAATTTGATTTCATATATAGGATTGTAGTGTAAAAGAGATTTCTAAATAATAATTAGGTAAGTAATACTTGTTGAAGGTTTTTAGTGAAGATCGTCTAAATACATGTACCTGAAAATACTGTTTGAAACACTATGTTGTGAATGCCCATCAGCACTCTGCAATTAACCCAGAGTTGCCAATAGTTATTAGAATTTTAAAAAGGAATTTCTGTTCCTAAATCAGGGATAGGCAGCCTAGGATGTTTTGGACTACAGTTTATATAATTTCTAATAATTGGCTATATTGGATGGGTTTATGAGTATTATAGTCAGATTACCCAGATTGCAGCAAATTATTTATCTTTTCCTTGAAGAGTCAGGTCTGGTCCAGAGTTGTTGGATAGCCAGAGTCTTGTAAGAATTTGGGTTTGTACAAATCATAAGCATTATCCAAACAGATTAATTTTTAGGAATCTTTCTGAATATTAGATTAAAAACTAGTTTTTACTACATAAATTTTTATATATTAGAGTAAGAGGTGAATATATTCTCTATCTATACCTGCACCAAGGAAAATCGGAAGCTACTCTTTTTTTCTTATGCTCCCTCTTCTTACCTGCCCTTCTTTTTCTTTCTCCCTTTTTTCTCCTTCCTTTTTTCTTGATTTTTCTGTATTAGCTTTTTTTGGAAAACATAATAAAATTTGTATTAAAAAAAAAGAATTTGAGTTGATGCCATTGAAACACTAGAGCTAGTTAACTGATTTGCTTTAAGCAATGACAACAGGCCTATTTTAACATCTGAGCAGAGCAGCCACTGGTATCATGAGGCAGTTTGGGACAATCAGGAGTGATATTTATGGGACATTGTAGTATATGTTTTTAGTTATATTATAAAATGTAGAAATAAAAAACTATAAAAGTCTGTAAAATGTTGTGCTTGATCGGAAGTCTCTAAAACAATTCCATTCGCTTACATCAGTTTTCTTTCCCATTGTAATCAATGAAGGAGAAAACCTAAAGCCCTTTGCTGTGCCACAGGGAAAAAAAATAGCCAGAAGTGTTTTAAATGGGGAGTGGGTACAATAATTGGTATTAGATTTTTCTGCATTTTGTTTATGTTGCAGATGCCAGTCTGTAGCATTTGCTCTTCATTTCCATTTGTACAACTTTCTTACAAAAACATGGATTTATTTATGATGATGCCCAGCAGTATCTCTTATCTTGCTTAAAAAAAAAAAAAGATTAAAAGCAATTTAAAAGAAGCTGTTCTCCTAGAAGGATAGTGGGTGATTCCTAAGAAGAATATCAGTACTGCTGCCTTAGAATCCAAACATTTGTTTCACGTTCTGCAAATCATTAAATGTCTTCTGTTTATAGATGATGACTTTGATCATCATAAGCCTGGTGCAGAAAGGTCTTGGAGAAGGAGAACTGGAGATGAAGATTTGGATAGGTAAGTTTTTTTTTTCCTTTTATGCTGAGATGTTTTTGGACTGTATGTTATTTGACTTCACTATTTCACATTCTAACTTACAGGGTTTTGAAAATATACAAATACAGACATTAATGAGTTTGTTTATCTGCCATGTGCATATCTGATAATTGTGGGGAAGTGTGTGGCAGGCAGTGAGCAGGGACCGCTTTCTTTAATCGGGGTTGCAGTTTGCTGTGAAATACATGGGGGGAGTCCATGGAGCTAAATAAAAAATGAGCAATATGTTACATTTTTGCCATCTATCTATAAATTCCTATTTACACCTAGTTATATATAACTGTTCATACTTGAATTTATACTCCTGTATATAACACATGCTCACGAGCACCCATTAATATTTTTTTAAGTAAGCCTGTCTGTTGGAATCAGTGGGTAAAGAAATTCTGTGGACAAATGAGGAAGCTCAGCAGATCCTATGTACGTTGTGATGTTGTCTCTTCCCACCCTCCCCCCACTTTAGAGCCTGAAGACATGAACAAATATATTACAATGAACATTTCATTGTACATTAAAACCTGGATTTAATGGACCTTAATTTAGTGGACAAATTGGATGCAGTGGACAAAATTTGAAGTATTGGACAAAGACGGTTTTAACTGAAATTTTACTGAAGTTTCTGGGAAGGTATGGGGGAGGTCACTGGGATGGATAGGCCAGGGACTTATGCTGTTCTGTGACATTAGCAGTGACAGGGTGGGGAAGGTCAGGGGCTTGGTGAAGAAGGGGCTGATTGCACACTTTGAGTCTGTTTCTTTGTAGTTGTTGGGCTTCTACTGCAAGCCTGGGCAGTGGCAAAGGAGGCAGTTTGGTGCCTTTGGTTATGAGTGGCTGCAGGAAAGCAGTACTCTGGGAACATATTATTCCCCCAGCAGCAAGTGGTAGAATGGAAGGAAGGATATTAAAAGAAAAGAGTACACTTTGTGCTCTTTCCTAATACTTTGCTCGAACACATGCATCTTTCACCCTCCACTTGCAATGCAGCAGGGCACTTTAAAGTTGGGTTATGTGGGGTTGTGCAGGTGTCCCCAACCCCCAGCTTGAAGGCCCAAGGTGTACTTTTACATATGTATAACATGGCAGATTTTATTTTATTTATAGTATTGAATTTAGAGGACACCTGACTCCAGATGACTCTGGGCAGCTTACTTGTTAAGATAAAAAGCACTAAAAACAAAAAGAAAATAAAGGAAGAAACAAACACAACACCCCAAAGAAAAACTGACGGGGGGCTCAGTAGCCACCGCATCCCCAAGTCTGGGAGCAAAGCCAAGTTTTCAACAACTTTCAGAACACCATCAGAGTGGGGGTCCTATTGATCTCTGGAGGGATGCTGTTATAAAGTGTGGGTGCTGCAGCAGAGAAGACATACCTCCTAGGGGCTGATAGATGACTCTGTTTAATTGAAGGGCCCTGGAACGTGCCCTGTTGGTCCAATCTAATGTAGCAGGTACATTTTCTGTTCCTTGCCTTGCCTTGCCTTGATGCTCTTTTGTGAAATCATAAACAGCTGATAATATTTTAAGGCCTCCTTCCCCAATTTGATATCCTCCATATGTTTTGGGTGTGCATTTCAAGAAGTATCAGCATGGCCTGGAATTCGGAGAACTTCAGTCCTGACACATCTGGATGGCATCAAGTTGCTTTAGTAATTTAATGAAAAGTATATATTTAGCCACATCTAAGGGTACTGATTGCTTTCTTGGAATTGGATAGTAAGGAGCAATAGAACTGGACACCATCATTTTATAGATTACACTCTACAACTCTGTTGACCTCTCCCAGTGGTTTTATTTAGATGTTGAACAAATAGGAGAGAGGCACCACCCCTTCACTTAAGGATACATTTACTACTGTCCGTACCCAGCTTCCTATCACCTCCTTGGCCACCTTCACCAACCAAGTAGGACAGAGATCTAATCCACAGGTGGCAGAGTTAAAATCACAGAGGACCATGTCTGTTTCATCAGGATCCACAGGTTCATACTGATCCCAAATAACTGACAGATCAATTTATTTGTTTATTTCTGCTGCCCGCCTCAGAGCAGTGACTCAGGGCAGCATACAAATTAAAACAATTCCTCAATCCAAATGTCCAAGGTTAAAACAATAATCCCAATTTATATAAAAAGCAAGTTTAATCAACGGAGCTCACCCAACCTTCTGACGTAAATGCCTGGGGGAACAGCCAGGTCTTCAGAGCATTACAAAAGCTTAAGTTCCTTACAGTGGCTGAGCAAACAGTCTTCTGGCTCAGTTTTCTTTAAAAGGGACTGAGTAACTGTAAACAATGTTGTGGGATGGTTTTCCATGGATGAAGTAAGAGTAGAGGAGTAAACTTGATGCTTATCTTAGCATCACAGTATAGGATCACCATTGAGGTCTTGCCTGTGTTTGACCACGTTCATTTTTCAACTTACACTAGGATTGTTCCAGGAGTCTCTTCTGTCACTCCATTTCCTGGAGCTCATCAAAAAACCAAGGTGCTCCCATGGATTGGTGACTAGGGAGAGGTGACTCGGCACCAATCCTATCAAGCACTGCTGCTGACCTCTTATTCCAGAACTAGCTACCAGAATTTTGGGAAACTTCCCAAATGGTAACTGACAGGTTCCATTAGGCAACTGGAACGGACTGACTAAGTAGGTCCTCCCTCTATATGGAAATCCATTATGTTTGTTAATTCTGTGGCAACCAGTGAGTAATCTGACCATGACAAGGGTCTGATGGAAATGTCCCACACTCTTAGCTAATTTTTCACCTGGGGGGTTAATTAAAGTTTAACCATCTTCCTTTGGCTGATGCTTGATTGATTATGTGCCATCAAGTCAGTGTCGACTCTTAGTGACCACATAGATAAATTTTGTCCTTGACAATCTGTCCCTAACTTGGTCTTTCACGTCTCCCAATGGTGCCCCCATCGCCACTGTAACTTGTCCGTTTTGCTGCCGGTTGTCCCCTTCTTCTCTTTCCTTCTACCTTTCCTAGCATTAGAGCCTTATCCAGAGAGCTGGGTCTTTACATAATGTGCCTAAAGTAGGCTGATGTTTACAACTGTCTTTATGCAGAACAACTTTACATTTTTTTCATTAAGGTTTAAGCTGTAGGAAACTGTACCTTCCTTTGGAATTAATCAGAATTCTCAGTTTACATTTAGCAATTCTCCTTCTCTGCTTTAGTTGACTTAAGTATAGAAATGGGAATTTCTCATTATCTGAAAAATGAGATTACCCTCTTTTTAGTCTGCATTGCTGTTGAGACCCTCAACTATATTTTGAGTAAAGTAGAATGATATGAACTGCTGCATTTTTGCCACTCTTTTGAAGAATTGACTACTGTATCTCTTTCTCTTCTAGTGAATTAGAGGATGACTTGCTAGGAGAAGATTTGACTGGCAAAAAGGTAATTAAGAAGCCTGTTTAAAGTATATGCTTGCATATATGGGAAAAAACTAATTTGACTACTTTACTTTGTATTTAAACCACATTGGTGAAACTCCTGACTGTCTAGAATCATCTGTTCTCCTGCTGTTCCGATAAAGAACTCCAAATGTTCTTTTGGAATATTCTAGCAAGATGAAAGTACTGCCCTGCCTGTTTATTTATCAATTCATTTTTATTAATTTATGTCTAAGTACAGTACAAAACCTGTTTTTTCCCACAACAGCAAAAAGTCTGGAGGTCAGTTGAGTGAAAAAATTCTTGGATCCAGGACAATTTTTATATTGTCTACCCACCACAGATCCCTTCTGGGGATTATTCTTTCCAGATCTCAGAAAGAAATAATTGAGGGGGAGGCAAGAGGGAGACTCTGGTGTCAGATTTCCTCTTTCAAGACTGGAGACTTATTTGACCTCGGAAGGGAAAATCAAGGAAACGTGTGGTCCCTTGCAAGCTTCTAAAATCAGTTCAGTCAAATTGATTAAATCATATTAACAATTATTTCGGGTTTTTTAAATGACATTTGTTGGCTTCAGAATAATCATGGGTTCTATGATTAAACTTAAATGTTTAATTCAATCTTTAAGTACAATACTCTTCTTGTTTCCTCTGATGTTTTAGTTTACAGGTAGTTCTTGCCTAACGACCACCATTGGGACTGGAATCTTGGTCATTGAGTGAAGCAGTTGTTAAGTGAGATGCCCATGTAACTGCTTTGCTCAGTGACTGCAATCTGGGCACTCACAGTTGCGGTCATTAAACATTCTCCCAGGTTGTTAAGTGGACAGAACGAAAGGGCTGCCTGCCCTTTCACTCTCAAAGCCCACTGAAGGATTTGCTCTCCCCTCTGTGGACAGAGGGGAAATTTTTCCTGGAGCTGGAGGAACAGAGCTCAAATCTTAAGGATTTGAGCTCTGTGCCTGCCCACCACTGATAGAGGAGGGGAAACTTCCCAGCGGTGGGCAGATATGGAGCTCAAATCCTGAAGATTTGAGGTCCGTTCCTTCACACTGCTGTGAAGGAATGGAGCTCAGATCTTCAGGATTTGAGCTCCATTCCTGCGCATTGCTGCATCCCCTCTGCTTGCACCCTTCCCTGCCGGCTTCCAATGGGGAAGCCGGCAGAGAAGATTGCAAATGGTGATCACATGATCGCGGGGTGCTTGGCAACCAGTCATAAATGCAAGCTGGTTTGCAAGCGCCTGAAATGTGGCCACATGACTGCATGGGAGGTGGCATGACATTTTATGACGGCTGGAAGTGCTTTACAGGCCATAAAACACCCTTTGCGAGGCTGTCATAAGTTCAAACCATCATTAAATGGTCCATCGTTAAACAAATGGTCATTAAGTGAGGACTACCTGTATACAGTTGCTTTGGGAGCTGTCTTTCCTTCTCCTTTCATGTTCAGTTCTGTTAATAATTTTTGTAGCTCCTGCCTTTAATTGCTAGGATGAATTTAGAACTGTGCCTATATATTTTACATAAATAATTTCAGTATTCAGTGTGCGTATGTCTTGATCTGCTTTTTTTCTATAGATAGAAATAAATATTAACAACATGATTAGCAGATTGGAAATAATTCAAAGCAGTGTAAGACTCATCCCAACCCTTACAGATTCATTGCTGTTCTCTGAACTCTTTTCAGTTTCCTCACACTTAAACCCCAATTTTTTCTCATTTTTTTCCAGTTAATAGCCTTTAGGATGAAGCTGTTGAAAATGATAGAACTTGTATGCATGTTCCAACACTTGTTAAAATGCTTTTTTCCATCTCAAAAGAATTCAGGTTATTGTTCCAAGGTTATATATTTAAATATTTTGATATTTAATATACTGCTTCTATATTCAATATCAAACATGGTGTTTATATAAACTACTGTATACTGTAATGAGACTTTTTTTAATTTTTTGCTGCCTGCTGCTGTTGGAATTTTTTTTCCCAATGGCTTCTTTTTTATTTTTTGGTGTTCGGTTCTGTCAAGTCAAACTTAATGAGCCTGCTGCTTTCTGAATATACCTTATAAAATTACTGTCACTCCCTTGAACATTATATATTTCAAGGTTTGTTTTTTTTCAATTTTAGACTCCGTCAGATATGTCAGATGAAGAACTGAATGATGATCTTTTGCAAAGTGATAATGAAGAGGATCAACATTACAGGTTTGTGTTTTGCCGCTTAAGCCAAGTAATGTAACTTGTTTTCTGGATCAGTACATTCAGATTAGTTATTTGTATTCTTATGCTAGAAAAGCACGTGTAATGTGCTGTTAGGGATAAGAAGCATTAACTTTTGATTAATGTTAGAAGTGATACATGAACACTGTTGTTTCTGTGCAAGTAAATGAATAGGAATTCAAGTTGTTTTTGGCTGAGTATTAAAACAGAAAATAATGGTAGAATAGGACCCGATTTCCCAGATGCATTCTTTCAGAGCTGTGGTAAACTCATCAAAAAATTTAATATTGCTTCCAGGAATTCCTTAGGAATAGCTATTTTAATGAGAAATTCTAATTATATAATTTTTCTTTGATGTAAGTATTAAGACTGTAGCTGATTAAAAAAAAACTTGTGTTAAAATGCCTCCAAGAAGAAAGAGAAGGCCTCTTCTAAGAGGATGCCTGATCTGCTACATGCATGCATAATCTTAACTGCAAAGTTGAATTAAGAACTGCTGTTTTATTCATTTGCATTAAGAATAAATGTGTACAATTAATCATGTTTTTTAATTCAATGGCAGTGTTAAATTTCTTGGGTACATTGTCAAGATATTTTATCTTTTCACCATCTTGTTAGCTTTGAATATACATCTTTTCTCATCTACCTGTTGATGGAGGAAAATAAGACAATTCAACCAGTGAGCTTCTGCAGGATTTTTCTTTGAGTGCTTGTTTAAGAGTTTTCCCTGAAGTGCTCTGAGTTTTTCTTTTGAGTGCTCTGAGTCTTAAAGGAGTTGTGGCAGTACAATTTTATTTAAGTGGGTTTCAGAACTCTGTTGTATCAAAACACTTAGAATCTTTGTGACGCATTATCTTCTCCTGTTACACAATCAAGTGAGCATATTGAAATATGTATGTTCATACAGAAAAGCAATACAGATCAGTGTGGTTGCAATTAGTTCTTTTAGATGTATTGCCTGACACATTAAAGCAAAGCATTGTTCTTATTTCTTTCTCATTTGCATAAAACAGTGTTGTCCAAACTTGGCCACTTTAAGATGAGTGGACTTCAACTCCCAGAATTCCCCAG